CCCCAAAACCCCAAAACCCCAAAACCCCAAAACCCCATTATAATATTTTCTAGTTGAAAGCATCTTTGCCATTATGGATTCCTTAAGTCTATTACTTCATAGATGACAAGTTATTGCTTGTTTATTATCCACCTGACGATATGAAAGTGTTTTGGATCATCTTAGATCTCAGGTATGCGTTCTTTTCATTTCGAGGCGTAAATTTAGTGCTCTGTCAGTCTTCGATTTCATATTTTGAATTAATTTATACATTAACTTGGCAGACTTTGGTGACGTACCAGGATTACTCAAGACGAACGCTTGGAGATTTCTCATTTCAAATCTATATCCAAGAGCAACTATATTTTATGTGAAAAGGCTCCTCTTCCCTCCAATCACCTTACATTAGGCTTATTTTTGCTAAAAACATTTCTCAAAATTTCTCAAAAAGCAAAATTATGTAAATTTACAGCAAGTATGGGTCTGAAGATTATTTGTCTTTATACAAAATTATCCTTTATTCTAACCTTAAATCCGTTTATTGAAGGTTTCAGCTCAAGTCATCCTCCGCATTTAGCTCTTAAGTCTCATGCTTGTGCTACTCTGAAATGTCTGGATCATTTGTCAGAGGTAACCATTGCAAGATCCTAACTTATCTTTTCAAGAGCATTTGTCGAAGATGGGAGTTGAAATTATTATGGTGCAAGAGCCAGATAATTTACCAATTAGGGCTATAACTTTTAGAATTATTAGTAGTCCTATCAGTTCTTGAATATTTTTACTCCTAATAATAAAGGTAGATATGCAAGGGATGTATGGCTTCTATTGTATCCTTAAGTTGAGAAGCAGATTTTTCTTCCTCATATTTAAAAGGAAATATATGAAATATATTTAATAGACACTTCATTCGATACTTCTATTAAATTTTACTCTATTAAGTTTTACTCTGTTAAGTTTTGCTCTATTATCTTACAGCCTGCTCAGTCTTGGATACATTAATAATAGTTATGACGCTTCTAGTGATAAGTTGAGTAAATATTTTTCAGAGCATCAGAAAGCTTACCAACCTGAAGAAATAGAGTCACCTTTTTATTTAAAATCTCTAAGCTCCGAAGAGAATTTCCAGAACAACTTTTCCATCGCTTAAAATCTCCACAACGAAAGAGTTGATAAACACCTTGTGTGAAGAATGTAAGATGGTAGGCTAAGTAATGGTCTCGCTTGCAAATAATTAGTTCTTGGAAAGCTCATTAAGTTCAAATTATATTTTATTGCCTAAATTTTCTTTCTGTAGACCTAAATTTTCCATTATCAAACGTAAAATTTTCACAAATGTTATTTTAAGAAATATGGAGATTTTTAGGGCATGGTTATCACCCAATAATTGTCGAGGATTTTGCCAAATAAATTTAATAACGAATAATTAGGCGAAAGAGGCTATAAATATGAGAAAGCACTCTTAAATGTTATGAGAAAGCCTCTTTATTATGCTACTTCTTAACTGAACTTGATTGCGGTATGTGATTATATTCTAATGTTTCACCAGATTAGCATATCTGATTAAGACCCAAATTTTAAAAGAATTTAATGATGCAACAAAACATTAAGATGATATTTTGAGATATTTTTGAGTTTAACAGCCCAACAACTTGTTATTAAACTTTCTGAGTGAGCGAGATAGCTCCATTTAATAAATAGCATAACCTAGATCTTACAATCTCAAATACACTTGGCTTGCTAATTTAATGAAGAGATTATAAATCTTGCATATGTTTTATGCCAAATTATTATTTTTCCTCAGTCTAGAAGGTCTAACCAGAATCGAAGATTTTACCTTCCACATAGTCAAAATTTTGAGAAAACTATATAAGAAAATTTTAATCAATAATTTTAACACAAATATTTATGATAGACAATAGATTTGACATTATGACTACTATCTCCAAAGAGGAAGATGCTACGTACTTACACGTGCAGGACTATCTCTTCTCTGATTTTGTCATTAAAGCCTTCAACCCAAAGAAGTATGCTTCTTACCAAGAAGCAGCGGAGGCTATAATGAGAGAGAGGAAGCTTTCCATCCTTTTTGAGGGACATCCAAATATAGTCCAAGCTTTCGGAGGATCTATAGAAGGAGTTTATCTCTGGAAAGAGTCTAAGAAGACTATAATGTACTCTATTCATGAGCATTGCCAGATAAATACAGTGAAGAGTATAATGGAGTTGGAAGGAACCTTCAGTGTTGAGGCTGCTATTAAGGTGATGAAAGAGATCCTCTGTGCACTTAAGTTCATGCACGAGAGGGAATTCGCTCATTTAAATCTTTGTCTTGATAATATCTGACTAGACCAGAGTATGACTGCAAAGTTAGCGAAAGCTGAGAAAGCTCAATACTCAGATTGCTCAGATTCAAAAGTGAAAAATAAAACTGGTGTATCGTATTTTAAGGCTCCTGAAATGGCTCAAAACTGGGATTATCTCTATGACCCATTCATGGCTGATATTTATTCATTAGCAATTTGAGTATTTGAAATGATAACAGGACATCAGCCAAGTGAGCCTTATCTACAAAGAGTCTTTTATGAATATGATTGAGACGAAAGAATGGAAGATTATTTGAATAAAGAAGACTTAGTAGACAAACCGGGATACGAGTGTATCCCATCTGATCTCAAAATCCTATTATCAGAGATGACTCTAAAAGAGCCTCTTAATAGACCACCAATTGAAGAAATCGTTCAGTATCCCCTCTTCAACTAATTAATAAGGATAAACCTAAAGTCTCTAGCAATATTGTGGTGATTTTTGAATAATTTAGTAATAACTTTTGAAGAAATAGGATCCTAAGTCACATTTTTACATGAAAGCCTTCCTTGATGCTCAAATTATTAGCAACGTTTGCTCATAAAATCCTTGCATTTAACTCCTACTCCTGTTGTCCTTTGAAGCTTCAGACACAGGATTGATGAAAATTTCTGACATGAGAAATTTATAAAAATCTAGCCCAAGTGTTTTAGTATTTGGTGATTAAATAGCGAAAATAAATAAAATAGGTGAAATTAACTTGTATAACATAGAAAGGGGTTTTGGGGTTTTGGGGTTTTGGGG